GAACATATTTTGAATAATCATGATCAATCCTCATCGCGTTGCAGAACTGTTAAGTAATTTAATTTCTGAGCGTTTATCTTTGGATGATCGCAATAATACAGATAGTAAACGTGATGAAGAAGTTGCTCTTTTATGGATTTACTTTGCTTTGAAAATTTTTCATCTTATATAAGGGTAAAAATAGAAAAACGTCGATAACTTTTGAAGGAATGAGATTGGGGAAAAACCTCTTTAGGGTTTTTACTATCTCAATATATTCAACTAAATGAGATATGAATGAATGAAAACGGGAGGTATCACATTAGATGGTTCCCTCGTTAGTGTCCTTTAACCAGGAACATGAAATAAGAAATAGGATGTTTTAACTATTAATTTGTTCCGTTTGCTTGCTATTTTCGAATGACGGAAAAAGACTTTGTGCAGAAAAATCTCGCAAAGAACATTATCCAGTTTCCATCCAGATCGTTTTTCCGAAAAGTAACTTTCTTTTGTTCTCTTTAACAGAAGTATCTCTTTTTTTTAGCTAGGCACATCAATTCTTGACGAGATAATGGACACTACTTTTCCTGAAGCGATTGTTACTGACTACCAGCATGTGACATTACTGAGGCATACAAAAACTATCATTACTTCTGTTTATCGTCGACTAAATCCTCAACAACGTCTTACACTAGATAAAAACTTAAAAAATCAACCCTTTCCACATTTTTTTAATCGTAAAATGAGGCCATTGGTTGATTTATCGTATGTAAAAGCAACTGAGTTTCGAAATATCTTATTTTACGGTCTGGTACCTTTATTACATCATATAATGGACATTGATTTTATGGCACATTTAGTTTTATTCGTCTGTTCAATTCGACTCTACCATTCTCAGCCGCCGTTATTTGATCAACAAACATCACAAATAGCTGCTGAACTATTTGAGCGGTATCATGAAGATCATGAATAGTATCACCTGAATTTACAGAATTTTGTTTTACATCTACATGTGCATTACGAAAAGTTATACCAAAACTATGGATCTTTGGCAAATATTGGCTGTTTTGTTCAAGAAGACCTAATAGGGAGCGTCAGTTCTGGTCGTCATGACACAAGGTACCATGGAGAATTGATTACATATTATTATAATCTGGACTTTACATTGAACAATAGAGAATCAGAACGTGCACCTCAACAACAACAAGTATATGAACCGATTGATATGGATAAAAACTTTGTTCTTAATCAATGTCCAGCGTTATTTGAACAACATGTACAATTATGTAACTGTTCAGATATTTTAAATTGTGTTTTCGTATATCGTCGTTGTATTGTTAGAAATCGAGTTTATCATTCTTTATTATATAATAAACGGGGAAATGCCGTGAGTTATTTTGTAAGTTACAGAAAAGAAAATGATCCACAAAAATTTTATGGAAAAATTTGTTTATTTTTTTCTTGCAAAAATAAATTCTTTGCTGTTATTCAACATTTTAAGCTGAAACAAAAATTCAGTGATTTATTCAAAGCGTCTGTTTACTTCGATTTGTTAAAAGCACCCTTGGATAGCTGTTTTGTCGTTCTTCGTCGTGGACCATGTACGAATTTTGATTGTGTGGATGTTAATTTTATTTTTAAGCATGGTATTGTTTTTGATATTAATCGGTCTTTGATTATAACCGAAGTTTCCGCTTACAATGAACATGACTAAAACGTTTTTTAAACTTTTTTGTTTATTTATCCAAAGAGCACATGGAGGAATCGGAGAAAAACTAGCCGTGTTAGGAAACTTCTTTATTATATCTTTCTGAAGAAATAACAGAGGAACACTCAGATTCAGAAATATCATCTCTTCTTCGAGATTTTTATTATTAATTGAAATGAGTCGTAGTCGTATACAACGAAATCGAACACAGGCAACAAGGTTTACACCAACACAAGTAAGAAACCCACTGCCGGAAATTATCTATTAAGATTTGAAGACAATGATGAATTAATTGTTGCAAAACGTACAAGCATTAAATCAATAAAAGACGATTGGAACGGGTCGAAATCGTCGTACAGCAATCATCGAAGCTAAAGGTATGTTGTGTTTTTTTACATCTTTAATAATTATCCAATCCTGCTGTTTTATTTAGGAAGCTATAGTCAATGCAATGCTATGTACGAACAAATGATAAAACAAGACGGAGAAGATGAACAGCAAGGAGGTAATTGATCTCAGATTATCTTGAAATTCTACTCTAAAGACTTTGTTTTTCTTTCTTTTAGATGAAGAGGAAATTCTGGAAAATGAATATGGTGATTCGAATGATGAAAATTTATCAAATGACGAAAATGACGGTATATAATTCGTCTTTTTTCTTAGGGCAAAAACTATGTTTTACGCTTGGTTTTTTTTTTTCTAGGATCAAAATCTCCAACACAAAAGAGAAAACGAGCTTTAGTAACGACCGATAATGACGACGGTAAGATAAAAAAAATTTCTTTTTCCTTTTTGCTTCCCGGTTTTCCTTGAACAAAATTTGCGCAGACAGAAACTTCTTCTGAAACTTTCTGCCGAGCTTTACCTGAAAGAGACAAGGGAGAAGAAAGCGCCTAATAGTGAGGCGGCACGGGCAAAGCTAGTGCTATTTAGGTTCTTACCGCCGCTGATGCTTCTATAAGACTTTATTCGTTCGCGGTCGAAAGAAAAACCTATTTCTCTTGTTTTTTAGGTGACTCTGGCGAACACAATGCACCACCAATACAAGCAATAACTCCCTTGAGAAACACAAGTAAGCAGCTCTATCATGTAGCATGCTCAACTTACCTTGAATATTTTCTATTGGCAGAGGGACGTTGTCCTGATGATGAAACTGACAAAGGTATGGGATTTATTCTTTTTCACGTCGATTTAATGGGAATGGCTTTCTCTTATTTAGAAAATGAGGCTCCTGCATATGATGGTGAAAATCGCCCCTTTGAACGTAGATACTTTGCTGCATTTCTGAGATAGTTTGGCCCCAGACTTGTGTCACTTTCTCGCAGGAAACTCATTTTTGACTGTGGTCGGAAAAAGAAAAGAATGGACTCGGATGTTTTTTGAATGAAAAATTTATAATTCACTCAAAAGACACCAGAACGAGCTCAAAGCTTCGATGTATGGTTAAATCTATCTGGTAAACGTCATTATATCAACAAAAAGGTCGAAAACCATATTTTCGATATTGAACAACATAATACTCTGCATTCTGAAGTTTTGAGCTCGTTCTGGTGTTTTTAGAGTGCATCGTAAATTTTTAATATTAGGTGAAAACAACGTGGAAACCCCAGTTTTTGTAAAACTGAGTCTTTACCAGATTTTTGAACTCTTTCCTAAAAGCAAACATTAATACAAGATTCTGCGCGGTCGATTACGTATGTGCCATGCGACCTCAAGGTCACCCCAAGCCACCGAACGCCAGTTCTGGGACTCTAGTGAAGTCCAATACCACGACCGAACTGATGAAGATCAAGGTCTGACTTGACTCCCATTTTGGAGAGGACATTTTACCTATGAAAAGAATCTAAAATATTTTTATTATAAGTTTTTTAGTAATAACACGGTTTTCTAAAGATCCTCTGAAAGACCTACTTTGAAAGAAGATTTTCAAAATGACGTTCGTGATGAAAAGATGCGGTCAGGGCTTGGCTTCTAATTGGTGAAGACTGCAAGTCTCCATCATTTTTGTGTCGAACGTTATTCAACAACAACAACAAAAACATCCGAGTTCATTCTTTTCTTTTCCTTACAATATATTGAAGAATTTTCTCTGCCAGATTTTCCAATAATCTGCATTCTAGTTCAAGTAATTTGAGAGATAAATCTTCCAGAACGCTGATTGGACTATTACTTAGTTTTTTCGAGTTTTGTGCATTTTTGTTTTTATTGTCTAATTTTCAGCTCATGTGTTTTACCGTCATTTGGATGATATGCATCATACAATAGTACGCCATGTGCAACAATCATTAGCAGCATTCAGCAAAAAGCTGGATCGACTGGCACCCAGTTTAGTAAGTTTCTTATTCTGTGCTACGGCTTTTTATTAGCGAATAATTTTTTTATGCATTGTATCTAGAATGATCAAGTTGTAGGTATCAGCTCAGAAATACATTGTTGCCTTTTTCCTAAGGTTTTTTTTCTTTTGTTCATTTTTTAGAAATATAATGGTGAGGATTTATTATTAACACGCGGCCGTGATATATATGATTTTTCTCGATTAACATTACGGAAATTATATACAGCAAAAGAACTGAATGATAGTATTCTCCCACCTGGTGCTGCACATTTAGTTCGCCCTTCGTTAGATGGTAAACGTTTCGAGAAATTTCATGGTACGTATGAAATGAAATTCTAAAACTAATTTCAGATGCCTGATGTACGGCTCGCAAAATTTAGAAGTTGTGAAACGGAAAAAAATCAGCAGACTGACTGAGACGCGTCAAAAAGAAAGTCTCCGAGCACAGGGTACGTGTCAGGGAGTATAACATTTCAGAACTTAATGATTTTATTCTGAAAATATGAGCTGACTGATCTAACATGCGCCTATCTCGATCGGAAAAATGAAATATTTTCAGTAGCCTTACCCGATTAACGACTTTGGAAGCATCTTTGTTGTGCCTCTTCCAGTGATGTAAAAGAAATTGAACTGTCTCGGCTGAAGCAGGGCTCCTCGTTACTCTCTTGAGCGTGTTTCTATGTCCACATAGAGGTTCTAATTAAACATTTTTTCTTTTTAGACGTTGTACGTGCAAAATACTGTATTTCATCATTACTTTACGATCAATGTTATTCAAAACTAATTCGTCCCCGAATGGCTGATTTTTTAAATGATGAAAGAAAACGTCAAGCAAAAGCATTGAAACAGCAAGCAGCTAGAACACAAACAAATGGATCATCCGATTAGTTATTTATAATTTCATTAACAAAATAATGTAGCAGTTTCATCAACAGTAGCATAGAAACAACTAAACTGTCGGTATGTAAGTAAAATAGCTTTCGTTTATTCCTACCTTTCTTATTCTTTCTTTGTGAGTACTTTGTTTTACCTGTTGTAAAATTTACCTTTTTCTGTGTGTGGTATTTTTGCACCTTTTTGTTGATATGGGATGAAAATGTTTGTACATAAGAAATCATAGAAAAAGTTTTTTCTTGTAATTGACGTGTTTCGAAACCAAACAGTTGATAATTTCCGAGATTTTTCTCTGTGTTACCTGTGATTGTTTTTCTCGTTTTTTCTGGCTGTTTATGTGACTTCTCTTATGTGTGAATGAACAGATTAAGACTGTATATATCTATTTTTTCGTCTGTTCTTCTTTTTCGCTTTTTTGGAGTCATTACGATGGTGTGCTGCTTGCTTTTTTTCTATAGAACTGCCTCAACAAGCTGTGTTACATATGAAAACATTGTACTTTTTTACTATTTTTTTGATGAAAAGAAAACAGTTGAAGTAATAGATGAAATCTTGACAGAAGAAAGGAAAGCAAAAGGCATAAAAACAAATAGATTAGCCCTAGCAGCCATACCGAGATTCGTCATAGGTCCACGAAAAATTAAACATGTACAGTTGTACTGTAGCGTTATTGTTCTAATAAGCAGTATGTACCCCTTTACGCCTTTTATTCCCTTTACTCCCTTTATTCCCTTTACTCCTTTTAGTCCTTTTAGTCCCTTTACTCCCTTTATTCCCTTTACTCCTTTTAGTCCTTTTAGTCCCTTTACTCCCTTTATTCCCTTTACTCCTTTTAGTCCTTTTAGTCCGTTTAGTCCTTGCAAACGCTTTTTGAAATATATCCAAACACTACAGGCGTTGTCATATATAAATACTTGTGGTATTCTTGATAAATCATTAACTTTTCTCAACATGTTTGTCCAGTGTAGCAAGGTTATATAAACTTGTTCAGATAAATTGATTTCTAAGAAATCGACAACAATACCACAATTGTACATTGTATAAATAACTCCATACGATCTAACTTTGCCATTGACGAATCGTGGATTTCGATCTACACTACATTCATTGTTCGTAGTTATCTCTTCTTCAAGATAAGAGACTAAAAGGAGTAAAGGCTGTAAAGGGACTAAAAGGAGTAAAAGGACAAAAAGGAGTAAAGGCTATAAAGCGACTAAAAGGAGTAAAGGGAGTAAAAGGAGTTAAAGGGGTATATACTACTTATTATAACAATAACGCTAAAGTACAACCGTACATGTTTGATTTCTCGCGGACCCCTCATTTACATCCGATCGGTTTCCGACGGTCGGATCCGGCGAGTTCATCTACCTACAACTTCCAGTCGGAATCCGGGCAATAGGATTCCGATGCAATCCACCATGGATCGGGGCGGATTTTGTTGGAATCTGACGCCTTCCGGTATCTTCCGACGTCCGATCCGGCCGGCTCAGACCGGATCCTAAGTCAGGAATGAACGACCTGGGTATATGTAAATATATATCATTACAATTTCGTTCAAGGAATTGTTGCGCATTTCTCGTTCTTTGAACTATTAACTTGCCACCGCGTGACAGTCCTTAACGAGCTAGTTCGATTCTTTAAAAGAATGGAATAGCCATATGCAACAAACAACCATAAATGAAATGTGTGTGTCCGTACGCGCTTGTGACGGACGTACACACACACAAATACTAGTGTAATTTTATTTCAAAAACCTGTTGTTATGTTATTAACGTGTCCTTCAGTGAAATTGTTACCATCATTGTGGTTAACGTCAGATAAGCTGCAACATGCGTTTTTCCCTTTGTTATCCGTACAACAATGTTGTGTTCCTCGTAAACAACATTTATTTCCACAACATTGCATAGTAGGACCACAACATTCACCTACGTCATTGTAATTACAGCAGAGCGGAGTGTTTGCCATACAGCAACTGATCGCCATAGCCGTACTGTTTATCATTCGTCCGTAACAACATTTAGCACCAATTGCTCCAGCAACACCATATACCGCTGCGCAAGAACTGTCAGGGCAACTACCATCCGTATTAGCTAAAAAAATAACGAAATAGAATGAACGCTCACGGTACCTTCTTTTTTTCTTAGCAATACATACTAGTTGTCGTTGAAACTGTTGAAGATATAGTCGTCAATGTTACTGGAGGAATTTTTTCTTTTGTTTTTATTACACCGAGCACCACACCAACGGTTAATAGAACACATAAAATAACCATCGTAGATATACAAATGGTTTTATATCGATGAAAGAAATTCGGCAATGGCGGCTGTTGTAGAATTAAACGATTTCGCGGCATAGCGGGTAATCCATAATTCCAAATTCCCACACTCATCTGGTAATAAAACACACTTCTTACTATAAATTATCTTGCCTAAAGAGTGAAGTAAATAAAAAAACGATTATTGTTTTTATTTCCTTAAATGACTATACGACGTGACCAGCTAACTCTGGTACTGCAAGGGATATCGGTAACAGTTTTTCTTCACTTTGTTGTATCGATATATACCAAATCGAACCACGCAGAGAGTCGTGAGACGTTTTAAATTAAAGAGAAAAGTCTTGTGAACATTTAAAGATGAATCTGCACTCTAAAAAATGTTTCTTTCCGAAGATCTTAATAGAACATTGAGTGCTACTTTTCGATGCTGAAGAATTTGAATTTTTGAAAAGTAGTACTCAATGTTCTATTAAGATCTTCGGAAAGAGACATTTTTTAGAGTGTAATTTCGTCCGTAAATGTTCACAAGACTTTTCTCTTTAATTTAAAACGTCTCATGACTCTCTGCGTGGTTCGATTTGGTATATATCGACACAACAAAATGAAGAAAAACAGTTACGGAATTTCCTTGTAGTAGCAGAGTTAGCTGACTACGCCGTATTTTTAGTTTATATTTTTAGTACTTTTAGTTTATTTTACGCTTCTATTAGGCATATTCAATTTCTTGACCAGTAAATTTATTCCATTGACTGTAAGTATATGGTCATACGAAATAAATTGTGTGTATGTGTCTGTACATACTTGTGACGGACGTACACATACAAATATTAGTGCGACGAACTTTGACCGATGCGCGACGGGCTGCCTAGCGCCGATATGAGCAAAGCGAGTCAAGGAGCTCTAACAACGTTGGGATCATCAAATCTTAATTAAATAGTAAGTATAGCGTTATACTCCCAAGCATAAAAAAAGATCTAGCATCGCCCGATTCATCTAGATTACTAGATTTTTATTCGATTACAACTATTGGGTAATGACTGTGGAAATCTAGTAATCGGGCGATTGCTAGAATTCTTCTAGTTGCAACTGTTGATTTATCGCTTGATAATCGCTCGATTTAACCATTGCTAGTTGCACATGCAGACGCATCTAGTTAAAAGTCCCTTTTCCAACTAGTAATCTAGATGACAACTAGTCGTGCATCGCCCGATTAC